TGTGTGTGTGTGTGTGTGTGTGTGTGTGTGTGTGTGTGTGTGTGTGTGTTGTTCCGCGCGTCCTCAGCACGGGGTGGTGTGTTGGAGCGGGCTGATAAGAGGATGTTGCAGATGAAGTTGTCTTGTGGTCTCAGATAACAACCAATACTTTTAAAACGATCAGGCCTTTATTAGCAGCCATTAGAAAGCGCGGGTCCTGCGTTATTTATTTGTTTGTTTATTGTTTATCTTTGTTAGTGTTGATCTAAACAGCTGATGTGAGATTCTAAAAAGGAAACAGTTGATATGGAAACAGAGAGGAGGAGATTTAACTTCAGTAGAAACTTACCAAGTAGAAGACAGAAGATGTCGAGCGCTACCAACAGTTTGTTCTTGCTGGTGTCAACACCGTTGTTGTTGTTTAACGTAGAGGTTCCTCCGTTCCTTGTCTCTTGGGCCATCGCTTTCTCATACATGTACTTTTGCATTTGAGAACTCCCCGTTTCAGCTCTAAATCCCACACCACGCGGTAGGTGAAGAAACTCTGACAGGCTGCAGTCCTTTAAAGAAATGTCATGCGACTGCACGGGAGGGAAACAAACTTCCCAAAACAAGGAGGTCGCGTGAAGCTGCGGATGTGCTGGTGTCTCGTTGTCTCGTGTTTCAGTTTTTTAAAATAATCTTTTCTTTAAAATAGAAGAGTATTATGTAGAAATCGGACCCGCGCCACGGACTCAAGAAAGTAAAGTTGCCTGCGCTCGAAATGAATGGAGCGCGCTCCTCTTCATCCGTGTTGGTTCAAAGGCTTGGAGTAAGAATTGCGCTGCACATCGACTGCCTTGTTATACCAATCCTTCTTGTCCTCCTCCCCCTGCTCTCTTCAAGTTCCCCCAGCAGCTTGAAAGGCTCAGCCCTCTTCCCTCTGCTAGCGGTGGGTAATCGGCTCCATTCCCTGCATGGAAACTTTCTCAAACTGGAACGAGCAGGGGCAGAGTAGCGCGGACACACAGCGCCCCCAGTGGTTACGCACGGCACGACAGGCGCACGGGACTGACGAGATCCGGAGCGTTTGGAGATGGAGTGTTTCCTCTCTTTGAATCATGAACATAATTAAAACTGTGAGCGCTTATTTTCCAGGAAATGTTGTAACAATAAGTTTTGTCACTTTCTGTTGAAATACTTCTGTGGACATCTGTGAGAAAATCTCCCAATATTTGCCCAAAGAAAAGTAAAAGTAAAGAAGTGACATACTTGTGATTTTACTCTCTGCTGGTTCTCATACAAAGAATATGTAGTTTATAATTCATCATGTTTATTGGGATTATTTATTCTCTAGGGAAATGTGTTTCTGAGATTTGCTGAAGAAGACAAACATGTTCATCTATTTCATCTAAATGTTGTATTTCACAAATAAAAAGTTACCAGTGGAGATTCTACTGTGATTGTTCCGGTCAGTGAAACCAACAAAACACGTCGTGTCATGTCGTGGCCTGTAAGTTACAGGATCTCTGCGTCTTTTCCAACTTTGATAAGAAGCAGTTCATGCGCCAGCTCTCTACTGTTCTCCTCCAGCTTTAAATGCACAAGAGTCCCGCTTGTTATTAACACAGTAAACTCACATCGCCATCTAGTGCTTAAACATGAACAACTCACCTCCGTCCAGTGGAGGAGGATCCGGCTGCAGCCTGATCTTTTTTGCAACTCATCGTCTATTGATTTCAGTTTCTTGTCCTTGTTTTCCTTTTAATCATCCTGTTCTATTCCAGACATTTAATGGAAGATGATCAACTTTTTATTAATTCATTTTTACATCTCGGACTGACAGGGTTTAGGTAGGGATCAATATATAAGACAGGCCTTCAGGAGGGACCTATACACAATATGGGATGCATCTATTTGAGAGCATAACAACAAAGACCTGACCTGACAGTCCAGCCTGATGAAACTCAGCAGAAACTGTTCATGTCATTCCACATTTTCTCTTCCATTCAGTCTTATAACCTGCAGAGACATTTATTATTTATGAGCAAATGCTCAATGCATTAGATGTGTTGCTCACAGCATGATAGACGCCTTCATTTATTTAGCTGCTGCAAGTGGCAACTGGCCACTGGAGGGGAATCAGCATTATTTTTACTTCATACAGCAGCTGATGTGAATTATCACTCAGGCACGGACAGTGGCTCTTTACTGTTGGCTCCTTTAATGTGTGCAATCAAGCCACCAGGCAGATCTGTGGTCGGTGCAGGTTATTGACCGGGATACTCAACGTGACATCGGGTCGGTGGGAGAGGCCGATGCACACCGCTATGGTCGCGGGTCTTTGGGATGCATAATCATAATGTTTTTGCTAATCACAAAAACAAATACCATCTGCCCCCCTCCAGTCCAGCAATTACACCTCCCCTCCACAGCCTTCACCGTGAACCTGTCAGTGTGCGTTTAACGTGCTCGGGCCGTCGGTGACTCCTCTCTCCTTTCCTGAGGAGAAGTGAGGTGCCCCGCCCCTCCGTGCGCCCCACCAGCAGCAGGCACAGCGCACGCACCGCACCGAGCGAGCTCAGCCGTCGGTAACGGAGAAGATGGCAGAGCGGCAACAACAGAAACACGAAGGCAGGGTGAAGATCGGCCACTACATCCTCGGCGACACGCTCGGAGTGGGCACCTTCGGCAAAGTGAAGAGTTAAGTGATGTTTTTGTGTCATGCTCGGCTCCGTGTGAACGTCTGTGCGCTTCAGTCGGAGTGACATGAAGTAGTCGCCGTGCCGCCCCCCTCGACGGACAGCGCTGAACTTGCCGGGGGTCAGTGAGCAGTTTGCGTAGCTACACTCTCTAACGGCTGCGACAGAAGGGATTTTAAAGCGTAACTGCCTTCCGAGAATCCGGGCCGCTTGAAAGTCAAATTCTTTTACCGAAGCCCTTATCTGTAGCAACGGTTATCAGCAACGGCAGGTGTCCGTAACTGGAGGACAATAGCTGGAAGGACACGCGCAGTCCAGCCCCACGTTATTACCGTTTAACGTTAAACCGTGACGGGTTGACGTTGCGGTGGGTTTCCTTGCCCTGTCTTACGGTAAAGGGCATCAGTGAAGCTCACGGCTTGGCCGAACCCCACCATGTGAGCTCGGTGTTGTCCACTGACAAACTGTTGGTAAACGGTGCAGCTAGTCCGACATGTTCTCGCACTGCTAGCCAGGGCAGCTTGTTCAGTGCCTCATAAGTCGTTAAAACCGTTTTATACAGGCGTTAAGTTTTAGTAGGGAGGGGTTTTGTTTCAGGTTTTCTTGGCTGGTTTTCAGACACTCGGCTTGACCTTGTGAGCTTTCACTCCTCACTCACCTCGCCTGTTTCTTGTGTGCGCAGTTTGAGGAATGTATTGTCTTAGCAGGAGGGCGGTGGTGGGGGTTTACCCACCTGAAATAATGGCCACGTTTGAAAACGGGGATAAATTCTGTACGTGGAAAACCATTTCATGCTTACTAGCTGTGGAGTAAATTCAGTCTAAATTTAGAGTGTCTGAATACCGAATTGGATGAAATTTTGGATGGAATTAAAAAAAACAACAACAAAAAAAGTCAGTATGGTAAGGCATAAAAGTCCCAAAAAGTCATTATAAAGTTAGGCATAAAAAGTCAACAACATTTTAGTGTAGTAAGGCATAAAAACTCCCAAAAAGTCATAAAATGGTAAAATATAAAAAGTCATAAAAAATAGTCATTATGGTGAGGCATAACAAGCCCCTAAAAGTTATATTATAGTAAGACATAAAAAGTCATAGTATATTAATTAATAAAAAGTAATGAAAACGTCATATTATAGTAAGGCATAAAAAGTCAGAAAAATGTTATAGCACAGTAAGTAAGTCATAAAAGGTCTTATTATAGTGAGGAATAAAAAGTCATAGTATATTAAGGCATAAAAAGCATACTATAGTAAGACATAAAAAGTCATAGTATAATAAGGCATAAAACTCCCAAAAAGTCAGAAAATAGTCAGATATAAAAAGTCATAAAAAAAGTCATTATGGTAAGGGATAAATAGTCATATTATAGTAGGCATAAAATGTCATAGTATAGTAAGGCATAAAAAACTCATAGTATAGTAAGTAATTAAAAGTCACAGTATAGTAAGGCATAAAAATGTCATAATATAGTAAGGCATAAAAAGTCTCAAAAAGTCATACTATAGTAAGGCATAAAAATTTTATATTTTAGTAAAGCATAAAAAATCATGGTAGAATAAGGCATAAAAGGTTATAGTATAACATAATTTTAATGTCATAGTATAGTTAGTGATAAAAAGTCATGGTATAGTAAAGCATAAAAAATCATGGTATAATAAGGCATAAAAAGTTAAAGTATAATACAGCATGAAACATCATAAAAAGTCAGCATAGTGAGGCATAAAAATGTCATAGTATAGTAAGTGATAAAAAGTCATAGTATAATAAGGCATAAAAAGTCATAGTATAGTAAGGCATAAAAAGTCATAAAAAGAACATAGTATAGTAAAGCATAAAAAGTCATAGTATAATAAGGCATAAAAAGTCATAAAAACAACATAGTATAGTAAGGCATAAAAAGTCATAAGAATGACATAGTATAGTAAAATATAAAAACTCATAGTATAATAAGGCATAAAAACTACATAGTATAGAAAGTCATAAAAAAGTCATAGTATAGTAAGGCATAAAAAGTCATGAAAACAACATAGTATAGTAAGGCATAGAAAGTCATAAAAATAACATAGTACACTACGGCATAAAAAGTCATAAAAATGGCATGATATAGTAAGGCATAAAAAGTCATTAAAAAGTCAGAGTATAGTAAGGCATAAAAAGTCATAAAAAAGTCAGTTTAGTAAGGCATAAAAAGTCATGAAAACGACAGTGCAGTAAGGCATAAAAAGTCATAGTATAGTAAGACATATAAAGTCATGAAAAAAAAAAAATGACATTATAGTAAGGCCATAAAAAGTCATAGTATTAGTAAGGGCATAAAAAGTTCATAAAAAAGTCATAGTTATAGTAAGGCATAAAAAGTCATAAAAATGACAGTATAGTAAAGCATAAAAAGTCATAGTATAATAAGGCATAAAAATTTATAGAATAGTAAGGCATAAAAAGTCATAGTATAGTAAGGCATAAAAAGTCATAAAAAAGTCATAGTATAGTAAGGCCTAAAAAGTCATAAAAATGACATAGTATAGTAAAGCATAAAAAGTCATAGTATAGTAAGGCATAAAAAGTCATAAAAACAACATAGTATAGTAGGGCATAAAAAGTCATAAAAATGACATCGTATAGTAAAGCATAAAAAGTCATGGTATAATAAGTCATAAAAAAGTCATACTTTACTAAGGCATAAAAAGTCATGAAAACGACATAGTATAGTAAGGCATAAAAAGTCATAGTACAGTAAGTCATAAAAAGTCATAGTATAGTAAGGCATAAAAAGTCATAAAAAAGTCATAGTTTAGTAAGGCATAAAAAGTCATGAAAACGACATAGTATAGTAAGGCATAAAAAGACATAAAAATGACATCCTATAATAAAGCATAAAAAGTCATAGTATAATAAGGCATAAAAAGTCATACTTTAGTAAGGCATAAAAAGTCATGAAAATGACATAGTATAGTAAGGCATAAAAAGTCATAGAATAGTAAGGCATAAAAAGTCATAAAAAAGTCATACTTTACTAAGGCATAAAAAGTCATGAAAATGACATAGTATAGTAAGGCATAAAAAGTCATAGTATAGTAAGGCATAAAA